CTTGTAACCATGCAGTGTAAATAAATACACTGCATGGTTACAAGCTAACTCAATTCTGCAATAAACTTTATTACAGCATCCATGATCAAATATAACAGTGTTCTATATAAATATATACAGTTAAATATAACCTTAGACGATATACTAAAGAAACTAGAGCTGAGCTTTATGTGAGGGTTCCTGAGGTCCTTTCTTCTAAATGCAGTCACCCATACTACCTGTCTGGCTACTTACAAAGGTAGAGCAACTGGAGCAGCCTTGAGGATAAAGCTTGAGATGCTATGATCACTGTGTGTAGTGTATTTCAGGTTAAGAAAGTAACCTAACTTATTACAGTTAAACTTGTTTCTATAGCAGCCTCTTCCAACTGAGTGTCCTCTGCAATTGTTGGACCTCATCTCGCAGCTTCCACCAGCCACCCGTTCCAGAAAACTAAGCTGGGGACAGGTGGTCTATAGATACAGACAAAATGTCATGTGACAGTGCTCTTGGGGCTGTACCATTTCTGATTCTGTGACTCTTAATCTCTAATATGAACAGTTAGCATGCTATAAAAAGTGTGGTACCCTAAGCTTTTCCCCTATGCACAGGGAAGGTTTTGTTTTCTGGGTTGCTTAGTTGATTGGTTTGCATAGAGTAAGGGCAGCAGCTTTTGGTAGTCCCTCAATTATCACCTAGCTATGGGTGTTCTATGAGACTACCCAAACTGTTCCCATCCCAACTGGTTATTATAAGAACGGAATGTTTAATTAGTGCTGGATTGCTTTTTTCCTCCTTGCTTCTTCCTTTTGTGCCATGTATTTTAGGCTGTAAGCCTGATGAAAGGGACTGTCTTAAAAACAAAAAAAAAACAAAAAGCAACTTAGCTTTCAGACAGGATGGGAGTCTTTCTGGCTCAAGAGTGTGGTAAAAATGTTTTAAATCAATGAATAATTGTCCTTTTGAACTTAGTCCACCCATTCTATTGCAAAGTTCTAGGAGGAATTGTATGTTTCCACATAAATTGTTTTTCAGTTTGTTTAGATAGCTAACATGCCACCCAATCCTACACATGTATCACTTGGAAATTAAGGGCACAATCCCATCATGGTGCCTGTAAGCCCCAGAAGGCTTATTGTATTGCAAACAGCAGGAGCAGCAGCAGAAATCATTATCTGCCTCCCAATCCTGCCCTAGATGTTTCACCAGATGGCTTTTTCATCTACCCAGCTTAAGTATTTCTGGGCAAGAAGGAAGGAAGCTGGAGAGGCCTCTAAAGTCTCCTCCCCTCCCCATTCAACAAAATGCACCCATTTCCCCTTTCCTCTCCAAAGTTGCCTTTCCAACCTCAGAGAACAGCCAGTGTGGCTCTTTCCAGACCAGCTGCAGCACTGGTTTGGAGTCTGATTTTTGGTTTCCCCTTGAGGTTGGAGAACTGTCTTTCACTGCAGATCTAGGATTCTGATATACCCTATTCCCCCACCCCCATGCTGTCTACGGGCCACATGCTTGCCTCCTGAGTCCCAGTTTGCTTAATGGGGGTTCTTCTAAGTAAAGAACTGCAGCTTTAACTAGCCTTCTGATTCTGGTCCTGGATTGACTAGATAAAATTCTTGTCTAAGAAAGAAGTACAATATTGAAAGCTAACCAAATTTCCAACCATTAGTGGTAACAAAAGGAACAAGATGTAAGTCACAATTAAGATAGCAAGTGCCATCAGTAAAAAGTTTCCTTGGACATTGACAATTTCAGACAGACTTCTCACAGTTGTACTGTACCTTGTGCATTCATCCTCCCTGCCTTTGACTTGTCCACATTTTGTTGATAGTTGCTCATGGACCATTTCGCCCATCTCAGCTATAGATCTTTCTACTGACCCTGGAATCATCATGGGCCTCTTGGATGTTTCTCTAATGCCCTCCTAACCCAGTCCTTGAGTTCTGACAGATGCCCTTCTCTAGGCAGATTAATTATTGGGGCATATTCCTTCCAACAGTCCTCCAGGAAAGTCCATAGTTTAGGATTATTCATTTTTATAACCCAACCGTGCTTGGTGGTTCTGCACAATTTTATCCTGGAGTTATTTCAACATCTCCTTGGTCTTCATGATTCTATTTAGTTATGCTCTTCAACAAACTCAGAAGCCTTCCAACAACAGGCATATTTGATTTGAGATCATGTAGCACAGGGATTGCTCACAGGGCTCCATGCAACTACTTAAAGTACATGACTTCTGGAAGCAGAGTTGCAACAGAGCTTAGACATGTCTCAACAAAGGGGATGAATATTTATGCAAGCAACAAGTACCAGTTTGTTTTTGTTTACTCAACTTTTGCATTACAATGTTTTTTAGCACCTTCAGAGTTGAAAATCTTGTGTACAAGTGCTAACTGTGTGAGTTCAATCTGATTCTAGAAGGTAACAAAACATAGAAAAATCAAAGAGAGAGAATACTTCTGCCGAGGCATTGTAGACCTCAGTGTTTCCAGATGGAAGACTTCTAGTGCAGCTAATCAAACAGCACTGTGTAACTATTGTCTCTTCCCCTACCTGCTCCAGTTTTTTGTATCAAGTAAAATGATGGAGGGAAGATGAAAAAATACAGGAAGGTTGCAAAGGGAAAATATCATCTGGATGCTTTGCAAAATTCTCATTTTGACACAGGTAACTGCATAATGAAGTCCATATCTGAAAGCATCCTGCCCACTCAGGTTATCAACACTGAGCCGTTTCTCTAAATAAATTGCATGTGGGGACAACATATTTCTGGCTAAATCCTACAGAACAAATTGATTGAGAAAGTTTGTTTTATTGTTCTGTATTTCAACCATTAAGTGAACATTACATGAATCAATGAACAACTTGATGATCCTGAAAGGAACTTAAAGTACAGGAATGATTAAACCCGTATTTCTGTTGGCTACTCTTCAAAAATGTAACATTCATGATATAAATCTGTGGTTTATTCATGCCACTGACTTGATGACCAGGAAGCCCAAAGAACAAAAGCACACACAATGACTCAATTCAGACATACTCAGGGGTTGAGCATGGGGTAAGTGTAGGTTGCTCTTGAACTACAGGTTGTTGAAATGTGGGTTATCATATTGTCTGAACCCAGACACATGGTTTGTTAACTACAAACAACCCATACTTTACAACCCAACAACAAAGCATAATTTCTCATCATGGCTCTTAGTTAATAAAGCATGTTGCATTAGCACAGTTGGGCTCAGACAGCTTGTTTCAACATTTCAGAATGACCCAGTCCTATACCCAATCTCTGAATATGGGTTATCATGTTATACATTCAATTAACGGTTGCTTTGCTTAACTGCACAATAATTACCAAACTGATTCTCAAACACAATAATTTAAATTACAATGCTCCAGAAGCCCTCATGTATAGGTATCTAGGATACCTATAAGTACATTTAAATATGTTCAGTGGCATATAAATTTAGTAAATAGTAATAGCTCAAGATTGCATTCCTATATGCAACCATTTTATCACATATTTTACTGCTTCTCATTATCTGATTAAAAGCTTAGAGCAACTTTCCCCTTCAAATATGTTAGATTCTTGTCATCACCAGTCATCAGTGTCCCTGTTGGGGGATGCTGGGAGTCATAAGCCAGCACATCTGGAAGACATGAGGTTAGAGAAGGCTGCTCTTGGGAATAACTTGGGCATGATTACAGGCAGAGAGGTCCTATAACAAACAATCAAAAGACATCGTGCAGCTGATCCATATTTTCTTGGGTTTTTTCCTGGTAAGAAAAAGTGATGGAAAAATGCAGGAGGGCTGCAACCTCAAGATGAGATTATTATTTTACATTGCATTTGTACCCCACCTTTTTTCCTCCTGTAAGTAACCCAAGGCAGCTTACATGGCTCCTAGCCCTGTGATGAAGGCTAGGCTGAGAGCGAGTTACTGGTTCAAATTCACCTAGTTAGCTTCATGGCTGAGAAGGAACTGGAACCTGGATCTTCCACTTCATTATTCTAATCACTCTATTACACTGGTTCTCATTATTTCAGGTCCAAACCTGGAGGGGGGCAAGGGGGTCAGCTGCTCCCCACTGGGCAATTTAGTTTTTACCTGATTGGTGGCGAGTGCTGCACCCCATTCCCCCTGGATCTGGGCCTGCATTCTATGCACCCCTGTAAATTTCTTTGAATAGGCTAATGTGACTGCACAATAAAAGCCTATCCTTGGGATCTGTCTCTTCAATGCAATTATAAAACCTGATCACGAGTGGATTTGTAAATCCAACTGACAATGGGATCTACATATGGATCTAAAACGCATAAAAAGAATATACATGGGTTTCAAAACATCAACATTTTATCCATTTCAAATTCTTTCTCTGATAATGTGCTTCTGGAAACTGCATTTACTATGGGCCTTCAAGTGCACTCCGAACTGTGCCTATTTATAATCCCACTGAATGCAGTGACTTAATCCCAGGTAAGTGCGTATAGCAGGATTGCAGTCTGAACATTACCTCATCTTTTAGTTAATCCAACTCACCTTCCATCTACTAATATAAACTCTGGAGCAGTATTATCTAGAGAAAAAAGCTGTTCCTTCCTCTGCAGATTCTAAAAGTCAACTTGATAAATTCCGCTGTTTCCTCTGGGGCCAAGGAGAAGTTTTTGTTTTTTAATGAATCAGAGAGAGAGACGGGATTTGGCATGAAGCACTGCTTGGGGGTGGGGAGAATAGATCTCCCCCCGCCCCGCACATGCTTCTTCCCCTGCTCGTCTGGGCTTTACCTGCAGCTTCCGCTCCCTTCGCAGACTCTTCCCCTGCAAAAGGAAGAGCTGGGCTAGGACTTCAATCAATCCCACGCGAGGAAACGTGGGGGAAAAGAAGCGCGGCAGGAGGCGGCTGCAACGGCCACGCGGCTTGAGGGCGCGGGAGGACTTGGCCGGCCGCAGGGAGTGCGGCGACCCCCGGCGCACCCTTTCTTTCCCGCTTGCCTCGGCTCTCCTCCCTCCCCCACTGCGTCCCCCCATGGCTTCTCTCGGAGACCCTCTGCCTGAAGGTACAGTGCACCCGCTTTGTGGCTGCCGCTTCCCCGCGCCCGACTGGCGGGAGAGCGGCGCTCGCGCGTCTTTTGTGACCTGGAGCATGCGGACTCCGGAGGGGCGAGGTGGAGCTGGGCAGAGCAAGGGAGGCGGGACCTGGCGGTGGCCGCAGGGGCCGACGCGCGAACTTGCCGGGTGGACACTGGTCCGCCCACCGCCAGCGCCCTCCGGCGGGGGCCGCTCTTGTCGCGTGTGGAGGAGCAAAGAGGCGGAGGCAGCCATAGCTCCGGCAAGCCCCTCTCTGGGGCTCGAGGTGGCGGTGTGCGCACACGGGGGTGGAAGTTTGTTGTCTTTTTTTTTGGGAAGGGTGGATTGCTGTCGCGTCTTTCCTCGCAAGTCATTCGGAGGTGACGCCGTTTCTTCCAGCCCCCCGCCCCCCGCCCCAGGTGTCTGGCTGGTCAGATGCGCGGCAGAAAACATTTACGCACTTGGGAGTTGAACTTGGAGGGCCTTGGCACCCCCCCGCCCCCCTCGTTTTTGTGTGCATGTGCGCGTTGGATTGAGAACGCTTTTAAAAGGCATTTACTGGAGCTCATCACCCTCAAAGGACTTAATGAATCATTCACTCAAAGGCGAAGTAAATTAAGCCCTGCAGCGTCTTTCTGAAGTGCAGTAAAATTGCTGCGAAAATTTGTCTTATCCTGAAACTTGTGAATTTTCTATATCCTTCAGCAAGAACAAATTTCTATCGAGGTGTAATTTGGCTCATTAAAAGTTTCAGTTATGCTAGACCAAGAAAATGGTTTGTATAGGTCATTCAGGCAAAGGTGACCAACATTTCTACCTCTATCCTTTTTATTTATTTTTTTTTAAGAGCGAAACTGTTTTAATGGAGATCTGACTTGTAAAGTACTTCTGTGTTTTTTATTGTAGGGTCTTAAAACAGGTACCATAGAATCTTAAACAGGTTTACTCTTACTTAAGCGTATATTCAAGAAAGCAAATCCTATTGAAATCAATAATATTTCTCAAATTACATTTGTTTTGTGTATCAGTTAAAAGAAATATACGTGGAAACCTCTGACTGACTTTGTCAAATGCTAAAGTAATTACACATGCATTGTCCTAAAACTTGTGTTCATGATTGTACTAAGGATATTATTTAGCTTAAAATGGACCATGAATGACATTTACAAGGAGATCACATGATGCTACTTTTCCTTATTCACTGCAGGGCAGAAACTAAAGGTTGAAAAACAATACTTCATTCATGTTAGTGCTGTCTAACCGAGAATAAGTGCTTTAATAATGGAACTGGTAAAAAACACCTCTAGTTTTTAAATTTAGTAATTATGATTGGGAGGGAGTAGTTTATTTAATTCTTCATGTCTCTTGCTGATGTCCAAAGCCAAATAAGGTTTACATAATCACCTTTTGAAATAGTAATGGAGGATTAGAATTTGATGCACTCTAATTTTATAGTTTCATATTCAATATTTATTCAGTTATTAGATTTATATCTAACATTTTTCTTATAACAAACTCAAAGTGGGTCACATTTTCCTTCTTATGCTCTCAGTCTTACTCCTTATGTGTATCTGAGGGAAGTCAACATGGTTTTCTAGTGTGTGTGCACTCCCCCTACCCCAGATCTTCAAACAGGAAGGACTATAGCTAGGAAACTATAGCATAGGAGAATTGCATACATTTGCAGGTAGAAGACCCCTGATTCAATCCCTGCCATTTCCAGTTAAAAGGATAAGGTAGCAGTTGATGGGAAAGACAGGTACTCTGTCTGGCCATGATTTTGCAGATATACAATATTGAGCTGAAGAAACACATAGTTTGACCCAGTAAAGGAACCTGTAATGTTACATGGTACAGAATAAATGGTGTTCCGGATAATTAAGGTTGAATCTGTGAAACAGAACAAATAATACAACTCTGCAGAAAAGCTACTGAAACATTTGTCCCAGAGATAATGTTACAAAGGACTACTCTGTTCCTTCCTGTTTGAAGATTTTAGAAAAGCAGCCATGATTCTCGGTGTCCTTTGGTTTTTTAAATCCTTCAAACACCATTGAGTTGGAGCTTCATAAAGCATCAAGGCATAAGATGTTTGGAAAAGGATTGTGAAAGTATCCAGGAATTTTGGCATGGGACCTTGCTGACAAGTTTTCAGCTGCTTTAACTTTAAAAAACAAACAAACAACCTCTTACACATAGGAATCCTTCAAAGAGTTAACACAAATGAACAGACTTATGAAATCACAATATACAGCAAATACCCATTTACCTGATTCTAGATATCTGAGAATAAGAACTCTCAAACTCAGTGAGACTTACATTCAATTCATATGCATAGGGTTTGGTCTGTTCATTTGTCAAGGCAAGTGCTGGCTCTTCTATATTTTCTTTGGCAGTCAAGCCAGGTCTTGGAGTTAGTTTAACCAATAAGCAGGGTACATAGTGCAGTCATCACAGAAAAATATCACTTCAGGTAAGGATGTAAGGGAACCACCTGTTTAAGAGTATTTCCATACTTAAATCTGCCTAAGCCTGCAGTGTTAGTACATGCAGAGAGAAAGCTAGAAATCTATTTTTCTCTGTGACATTTATTTATTATTACTCCATCCTTTCGCCAAAGAGCTTTGGGTAGTACACATGATGCCTTGTTGTAGCATGATAACCCTATGAAGAAATGTTACATCTTGACTGTTTAGCGTTACAAAAAGGCAAGTATGGCAAGATATAATGGAAGAATACACAATTATCTACATATACAGAAAGAGGATATGAAGACATTTTTCTTCCTTTTTCATAACACTAGAGCCTTGTGTTCTCCCATGAAGCTGATTGGTGAGGGATTCAGGAAAGAGATGAGGAAGTACTTCCTTACATAGTGCATTATTAACAATGGGATTTACTTCCACAGGATGGAGTGATGGCAACCAATTTAGATGGCTGTAAAAGGGAATTGGACAAATTCATGGAGGATAAGTCTATTAATGATTTCTAGTCCTGATGACTATATGCTATGTCTAGTATCAGAAGCAGTATGCTTATGTGGACCAGTTGCTTGTGGGAAGGTGCAATTTCACTCCTGTCCTGCTTGAGGGTTACTCACAGGCAGCTTGTGTCAAGAGAATGCTGAATTAGATGGACTCTTGGTCTGATCCAGCATGGCTTTTCCTCTGGTCTTAGTTGTGGTAACATTAAAAATGAAGGATACCTCGCCTTATCAATCCTGCCTTATCAGTCAGGAGATTTGACATAGACTAGCTCCTAAACAAGTAGACTTCCATTTTTACAAACTGTATGTGCATCCTGCAGTATTGCAAGATGTCAGCATTCCCATACAAGAATCAAGGGCTGCTATACAGGAATGAGATATTTTGTATGCAAACCTATGAAGATTAAGAATGGCACAGTGCAGCATTAACTTTAGCAAAACAATGGTAGTATCTGATGTGGCCACTAAATTTCAAACAAGAACATCTCTGGAAAATGTGCTGAATGGCTCGAAGTGGGAGGCTTGGCTGGGGGAGAGGCCATACTTCAGTCACAGAGCACCTGCTTGGCATGCAGAAGGTCCCAGGTTTAATCTCTGGCATCTCCAGGAAAAGCTTCTTCATGAAACCATGGAGCATTATTGCAAGTCATTGTCGATCATACCGGGTTACATGACCCATTGTCTGATTTAGGCAGCTATGTGTTGCTGTTGCTCCAACCAAAGGCAGATAAGTGTGCAAAGAAACATTTTGAAATACAAATTGGTTCTAAACCCATAGGAAAATCTTGAACTGTACCGTGTGGAAGAGGATATTCTGATTTAGCTTGTAACATCTAGAATGGTGAGCTGCTTTTTCTCCAATTCTATCTGCCACTGCTATAACTACAGTATATGATTTATCTGCTGGAAAAGCAAAAAGGGCCATTGCTAAATACAAATGTATAGGTCAAAAGAGTGTAAGAAGCACAAATGTTAACATCTGGTTAATGAAAAGAACAATGAGATCTCAGCTGGAAATAAAATCAGAGATGAGCATGTGGCATCCCCATGATTTGAATATTTCCAGATTTGTTTAATTGAAGGATAAGTATTAATAGAATTACTGTTAGTTATTGACTTGTTATTGTTAATTACAAAAAGTATTAACAGAATTGAAAGGATATATGACCGTGAAAACAATTTCACAAATAAAAACAATCTTGTAAATGTTGGGCCAATGTAAGGTTAAAACATATATGAATGTAGAAATGACAACAATATTTAGGAAGGAAGAATTAAGGGTCAATGGTAGCATATATGGAAAAAGGACATCAGTATTCAATATATATTAATATTTAAGGAAATTGTTTAAAATATTTTACATATTTCATAAAGCACACCAACTAAGTGGAGTAAAACCAACAGAATCTAGTGTTGCGTGATGGAATGATGAATACAGAAGTGTTATACTTTCATGGAAGTGTTGCAGAAAAACAAAGTGTTACTGGAAAACAATAAGTAAAGTGATTAATTTTAACTGGAAAAAGATAAGTAAAGTGATAAATTTTACTTTAATCACTTTAAGCAAGCTGAATTTATGAAGCATTGAGTGATTTAAAACAATTCATTTTCTAAATTTTGCCAATATGCAGGGTGGTACATAAGGCATTCATGGGTCATACAGCACATATTTTGCCTACAGAAGATCCCAGATTCAGTCCTCAGAATCACCAGCTAGGGCTAGGAATGAATCCTGTTTGAAATTGTGCCTGTCATGTTGACAGTACTGGGCTAGATGGGGACCAGTGGTCTGAAAACAGTATAAGGCAGTGCCCTGTGTTCCTATATGGTGAATTCTAGAATCTATTTCAATATATTTCATATCTAAAAGTAAAGATAATGATTTGCTCTCCCATGAGATACAGCATGGAAATTCAAGTTTGACAGAATGTTAGAACTTTTAAGGAAAGACATGGGAAACGTACCCAATTTCTCAGTTTGGATATTATGGGAAATCGTGTTTCAAGAAACTAGGAAATATTTGCAAAAGTTGAGCATGTAAGAGGAAGAGAGAACAGGAGCAATTTGGAGGGAATAAATGCACAAGCACATGGTTTGTTCCTGGTCTGCAGAATACTGGTTTATTAGACTAGAATTGTTATGTCCAAACTATTCCTGAATCAGTCTTGGCCAAATCATTTGTGGCTGTCACTAAACTTTGTGAAAAATGCCAGTGAGATTTTTACTATTACTAAAGATCATCCTGTAAGACATATTTGTGTATTATGGATTTCCATTTATATAGTTATACTATGTATTTTTCACCCATTAAAGTGAACATGAGATATTGAAAAACATAAATAGAAATCCTTCTTTATTTTTTCCAGCAGATCAGGCAACTAAAGAGCCAGTAGAAGATATTGATCCTAGCACTTTATCTTCAGAAGAAGTATGTAGCTTCCTGTATTTATTGTAATGTAAATATAATAGTTAATTTGGTTATTAGAAATGCAAGCAACCATTTCATAGTTCTTAATACTCATAGAACAGGAATATAACTCACTGGTGGTTATTGACAGAAATGAGATATGCAGCTAGCTGATATTTTACTCGGTGGGCTCCACAAATGTTTATTTATATTGGGGCAGCTTGTGTTGTTCCAGATATCTTCAAATATAATTCCCATCATCCCTCACTGCTGGCTGTGCTGGTCAGGGTTGATGGGCATTACTGGCCACAAGTTGGCCACCCTGATTTAAAGAACTATATGACAGTTGTGTCACTTTAAACTTGGGATAGATGACCATGCAAATAATCTTTCTGTTGGGACCCACGGAATCTGTATGTATGTAGATATGTAACAAAGGACTCTGATGGGATGTTAATGTAATTTTACAATTTAGTAGTAAATTTGTACATGTATATATGAGCAGAATCTGTGTAAAAGTAGTATGGTGTCTCCATACACGGTTTCATGTGGTCATCAAAGTCCTTTTAATATGACCATTGGACATGTGGAGAAGTTGTAAAGACAGCAGGTGGCACGGGGTGTTGCAGTAGAAGCAGTGGGGAGTAGCTGCAGAAGAGGCAAGATGGAGCATGAGAACCAATGGTAAAGGAGTCGGACATGAACATATCTTGGGCAACTGGTGTTAGGCAAGTGGAGAAGTTGATTTTTTCCACATTTGCTGCACTGACTTGTAGAGAGAAAATAAAAATTGCCTTAAAGCAAGAGAGTCACTAATGGTGATTTGCAGCTACCGTACAATGCTCAGCCCAGAAAAATACATCTTTGGGAAATCTTCTAAGGGTTTAATTGTTATCATCATTCCTTTTCCCAAAATATTATTTCCTGATACTAGTCTCCTACAAAGGAATTTCGTAAAGTACAAGCTATTTTATGCTACCCACTGTTGCCATCTCTTCCAACATTTATAACTGTTCTTTGCAAGTTCCTCTACCACAGAACAATCTCCCTTTCATTTTCCATGCAGATGACTTCTTTAGTATTTCCCCATGGCAAAGAATGTTTTTTTTAAAATACTTAACCTCAGATGTGTGGTGTAAACCTTGGATCTGTGTTGCATATCATTTGGTGAAACATAGTTGCACAAACCATATACCAGACTATCTCAGGGCATGGCCAGAACTTCTGAAAAAAACAAGAGCTGCCACCGAAACCAACAGCTAGCCACATGTTGAATTATCTTCCTCTGTCTGTAATGCACACACAGTACCCAGAATCCTAACCTTCATTACACCTTGTGTATCATCTTCCTATAAAATGTGGAAGAGAGCAGGGAAATGTATGTCATAATGATGTCAGGATATAGGGCATGTTGTGTTACAAATTACGGAGGGGAAAAGAGTTTGTTTGACATGGGAGCAATCCATGACTCCTGTGATGTCAGATTCTGTTGTGAGACCTTAAATGACTTGATCAATTTCCACTAATTTTTCTTTCCTGTCTCAAGAGGTTAGGATTGTTGGGGATATGACTGGTGGGCTATGTTTAACACAGAAGAATGAACTAAAGATACTTCACAAGCCTGTAAATATTTGGTTTGCCAAAATACATCTGTTATAATTGAAGAAAACATTGTCCCCTCCCTCCCCCCCCCGCCCTTGTTTGTTTGTTTTGGCTTTCTTTGAGACAGACAGAAAAATACCCTGTTCAAGATACAGCTCTACCAAAAGGTAAGTGCAAAATTCCAGTAGCTATTTATTTGTAACTTTTAACAATAAAAAAGCTTAAAATGTAATATAAGCATGAATGGTACTTTACACACTGAAAGTATACATAGGATTTATCTGCAATCTAATATAGCTCAGTAGTAAAGGGGCCACATGTGTACTAGAGTTATTCTGCTTATTTTATTTCATTGTCACTCCAGTCAAGAATTGACTCCTTAAGGGTAGGAAGATCCCAAAGAGCAGGGATGGGTAATGTGTGCCCCCCCCCCCCCAATTATTGGATTCCATCTCTCATCATCCATAGCCAGCATGGCCAGGGGTGAGGAATGCTGGGTGTTAAACTCCAATAACATATAAAGGACTAGACCCCTACACAAGATCAAGAGCAGAACTCAGTGCAAAGTGAGACAAAGGAGGTGGGAGTTTTGAGTGACCAAGCAGAGGCTCAGGCCTTTGAAGTGCCCTGAAGGTTGCTGCCCACAGGTTCCCAGCCCAACCGGGAGAGCAGGAATGTTTGGGAAGGGATGGGAGAGGAGTCAAGGAAGAGGAAGAGCGGTTGCCTTGCCCAGTCCATGATGCCATGCTGAGGAGTTGGGAGAGAGCAGCCCAGTTGGAGAGCTTGCGCTGCTCTCACTGGCAGGCCTTTCAACAGTGGCAGCCACCCTGAGGGTAGAGCCCCAGAGTTATGGAAAGGAACAGGTTCTGGAGAGAAGTCCTTAGGTTAGGTTCAACTACCATTGCTGACATGCTCAGAGGTGTAGCTTCCAGCTTATTATTCCCATTACTACTACATTTTTATACTGATCCAAAGCCAATTGGGTTCTCTGGGTGGTATACAAATTTAGTTACAAAATACACAATAAAACACTCTAAAATAAAAAATAAATAGTATAGCAGTATAAAAGCAACACTAAATAACAACAATAGGCCCAAAGTAACCCTTGTAGAAAACCTGACACCTGAAGCAACACCAAACAGGTATCAAATGGATGATGCCCTTAAGCAGCTGCCCAAGGGCCCTGCCCTGGGCGCTGACTGGCTATGAAGGCATGGCTAGTGCAGGCCCCTCCTTGACTGTGCCTCTGCTTTGCAGAGGCCGCAACTACTGCCCTTTCTTCCTCCCCCTCGTGCCAGTGCTCTCACCACTTGATGCTGGGGGAGGGGGGCATGGTGGCAGACAGTGGGAGCAGCAGAAGGTGTGCCACTCTGTGGGGGAGGCAGCAGTAAAGGTAACAGCAAGCAGGTCTAGGTGTTGGACTGTTCTGTGTGCCAGCTGGCTATGAAGATGTGACTGGCAAAGGCCCCATCTGATCTCCGCCTTTGCTTTGCAGGTGCAGTGACCACTCCCCTTTCTTCCTCTTCTGGGGCCAGTGTTCTCACTACTCAATGTTGGGGCCCTCACACTGACTGGCTACTAAAAGGCTTTTAGAATTACTGTGTCTTGTAGTTGCAAAGTGCCAGTAAAGGTCTGCTTGCAAAGAGACTGTCTCGTGTTTTGTCATTGAAGGAGCCATGTTTGGGTTTATCCACTTCTGGATACCTTTAGCCTAATCCAGTCAGTTATATTGCTAGATCACAGAGACGGGGCTGCTTTGGTGGTGGGCCAGACCTATGAAATTCCGTCCACAGAGAGGTACACATGACCCCAACAATTTTGGGTTTGGAAGAACTTTGAAAACCTTTATCTTTCAGCCTGTGGTGGTTCTCAAATTGGATTCACTGCTGCCTATCAGTTATAGAATTGCTTGGGAATCTTAGCTGATGTCATATATATATATATATATATATATATATATATATATATATATCATTTGTCCTGAAAAGTGGTTAAAATGTTGTGTTAACAAAAATTAACCTTTTAAAAGAATCCTGTTACTCCTTAGTAAATATTTTTAGTATTTTATTCTAGGAATTGCTTTTGGGTTAACATTAAACAAGACAGGATGTTAATTTTGTGAAGACAAATAATAGCCATGGTTTTCTAATAAAAATGGCAGACTGGTGAGGAGCAAACAGGGTCATGACTTTAGCAGGCCCATGTGATTTCCCTCCTGTTGGTCTCCCAATAAAAAAATTCCCCATGCTGCTTTTTGCATAAAGAGGGAAGACAAGAATTAAACTAGAGAAGGCAATCTCTGGTCCATGGCCGTCATCTGGTCCATGGAGGGTCAGCATTCTCTGTGGTTCTGCCACATGCCCTCCCCAACCCCCAGTTCCCCTTTCCTGAATGGCCCATGCCCTGACTGGGATGCAAACAGCACAGAAAATAAGGAGTCGACTTACCTGGGACTTGCAGGAGCCCGTTCCTGCAAGCCCTGCTGAGTCACTGTCTCCGTGCAGAGAGAGGTGCCTCTGTCTGCATAGATAGATACAGATACAGATATATTTGAAAAATGACTGGGATGGAGTAGATAATGTCAGGGGAGGGGAGGGCTGGGGCTTTAGAGTGGGCCCCCACCCCTTTGACATTATTGAGCCTGTCAGCTTGGATTTGTGGGGAAGGTAATCCAGCTCCAGGAACAAAAGTGGATGATTGCCATTCCTTCCCAATGAAAACAGCTTTGTGCAATAGATTTCATCATTCCACAGCCTTATCTGCTGAAAAGCCATCCAGGTTGTATACAATAATTTTTAAAAATAGCCCTTTCCAACAATAAAAAACAGGAGCATTATAAGAGATGAAAGCATGAAAGAAAGGTGAACTTGAAAAGATGCATCTTTACAGTCTTTCTAAAGCCAAGACAGTAGGGTCCAACTGTAGCTCTGGAGGGGGCACATTCCATATTTGGGGACATATTGAAGTTGAACAGCAGTGGCAGGAATTGGGTATAAGCTAACTGAATTCCTTCCCCTTGCAAACTCCTCTGTAAACTAGAATAAATTGGTGGATTCCATTTTCTGTTCTTGCTTTCTCCTATGATTATCTGTCCCTTCCTGCTTGGAGACACCCTAGCAATAGAACTGAAGGAGCCTGCAATGGAAGGGAAAATCATTTGTGAATGTCCATTGGGCTCTGAGTTGGTAGATGTAACATCTGTGTACAGGAGAAGAAAAACACCTTGGTCTGCTCTTGTAACTTTGAAGAATAACTGGATATGCAGGAATGAATGGAGGAAGCTTTTTATGGCCTTGGGATAAACATAACTCGTAACTTTATCAGATCACATGGAAGTGGGGGCATTTCAAAATATGATGCCTTTAAATGCAGCATGAGCAAGACTCTGTTTTGCAGTCAAGTGCTGCTATGGCTGATGTCTGGTGACAAGGCTACTGCAGTGTTTTGTTTCAGGGAAGGGGTAATGGAGTCTCCTCTCATTATGTGCACATGCAGGGCTTTTCATGCAGTCTGGGAGCCAGTGGCAGCTGATGTTGTCCTCAGGTTAGTCCCTTCTGCAATCTCTGGTACATAGAGCTCTAGTTCTGCTGAATGTTACGTGTGGAGCTGCATGGATTGCGTGCAGCTTTCCTTCTGCTGATGCCTAGCTCAAATGATTGTTCCTAAGTTTGCACAATTTTAGAAAGCAAATGTTTTGATTAAGAGGATTGAATGTGCTTAATGTTTCAGATTCTAATGTTTGTCTTTTAGATGAGGAGTACCAAACAGAAAAGGTGACGTTGGAAATAGCAACCATTAACATCAGAAGTCTAACCTCAGATTCGGGCCTGATACAACAGGTAAACAAAAGACTGCCAACTTATCATGGTAGACGACTCTTGATACATGAAGCATAAGACTTCTTAAGTAGTGGCATCTTACTGCTACTTCCAGGAGAAGTGTTATTTCAGACTGATCTGCGAAACTAGGAAGGAGATGAGGCACTGCTATCAAAGAGTCCATAACCCTGGTTACCAACCACAATTCTGAAGGTGGGCCCAATCAGAGAAGGCTTCCACTTAAGAGCCTTGCAGGTGGGCAAGTTAATATGAGAACATTTGGTCCTGGAGGAAACCTGATCCCACACTTGTTCAAAGTTTTCTGTAGTTCCAAATCAGTCAGTGAGACTGAAAAAGAACTAGCAGCCAGTGAAGCTGCACCATTAGAGCCCTCTGCTGTTGCTAATACCTCAGCCACTCGCACTCCCTTTTCCCTTTAGAGGCTGCTGCAGATTACTGTGTGCACTTGCTGCTCTGCTGTGTGCATCTGAGCTGCTATTCCACAAGGCCAGCATGGTCGTGGATGCTTGCCAGCAGTGCACACCATTGTCACGTAGTGTCTGGCGTCTGTCAACAGAGAGCTTAGCTGCAAATGTGTGAGAGTGCTTCCTCTATGGTTGGGGAAGATGCTGCTTCCTGCTGTTTTGGGGAAAGAGTATCAGAGCAACACAGTTCAGCTCAAGCTTGGTATTCTGTATATTAAGGGGAGATATGGAAGACATTTGCAGTAGCCATATTTTTAGAGCAACCGTCCCCAACCTGGTATTTTCTGGGTATGTTGAATGCAACATTGTCATGATGCTCTGGAGAAAATGGGAGTTGTGGAAGGTTGCTTTCAAACATGGTTGCATTTTTCCTTGCTTACTTGTTTGGCGTGCACTTTCTTAGTACCTCCAACTGAATGAAGTGGTATTGAGGATGGATGTCTGGCGGCTTGAGACAAGGCATGTGTTAGGATTGTAGGGAAAAGAAGGGTTTATAATATGCTTAAGTTCTTAGGAAGCAATTTATTTAGTGTTCCCTTTTTGGGCAAAGTGCTCCTCCCCATCATTCCCCTTGTGACTTCTAAGTGTGCATGTCTTTAGGGAGGAGCCATAACTAAATGCCAGAGAGCCTGCCTTGTATGTGCAAGGTCCCAGGTAGAGCTGAAAAATCTCCTGCCTGAAACCCTGGGGAGCCACTGGCATTCAGTGATTGGTTTTGCATGTTACAACAAGCAGTTGTGGTTTATCACCATAGTGGGCTTGTTGTGATAAACCATGACTGGCTCTGGATAAAACAACAGCCTGTTTCAGAAACTACAACTACAAAGGATGGTTCGTTGTATGGTTTCGGCTTGCTACAATTGTTACTGTGATATCCAGACCTGGGAGCTCCATTGTTCCATTCATGGTGAAAAAGCACCATAGAGTCTCGTGGAAAGACTAGCAACAGAGGGGTCACTCTAGGCATCTGGTTTCTACTATCCATGGCATCTTAACAGCACACACATCATGGCTTGCTTTGCTCCTATTGGCTGAGTAATGTACTTATTCCTTTTTTGAAACAGTGAAAAATAGGTAAATGCATGGCAGGAGAAGTGTTCTTTAATGTAAAAAGATATTGAGAGGCTAGATTAGCCAGGAAGCATTAAAGGGATGGAGGTGCTATTAAGAGGGCAAAGAGGGAGAACCTGCCCCAAGATCTCAGTAGACCAATCAGGAATAGGCAGTTGAAATATTTATTTATTTATTTATTTATTTATTTATTTATTTATTAAAACATTTCTATGCCTCCCCATTCGCCGAAGCCTCGGGGCGGCTCACAACATAAAGTTAAAATACAAAAAATAACAATATAAAATAAGTAACAATATAAAATAAGTAACAATATAAAATAAGTCGCCCTGGCCAGATAAAATAAGCAAATACTATTAACAATTAAAATGACGCTTAAATAAAAAGGTCTTTGCCTGGCGCCGAAAAACAAATAGCGACAGCGCCAGGCGGACCTCTCTGGGGAGCGCATTCCATAGATTGGGCGCCACCACAGAGAAAGCTCTCCTCCGAGTACCTACCCTCCTAATTTCTTTCACGGAGGGTTCCCGGAGAAGGGCCTCTCCCGCAAATCTCAAGGGGCGGGCGGGCATATATGGATGTAAGCACTTCTTCAGGTAACCAGGACCCAAGCCATTTAGGGAACAATAGATAGGGAACAATATAGTAATGGAAGGAGTTTTGCTCAAATGACTGCTGGGATGTGTGGTGAATAAGGTAACAGAGCAGAGGGGCAGAAAATTATGAAACCAGTGAAACTTTCTATTCATCTGTCAGGAAAAATGGGGCAAGTTATCAGACAAGGCAACCTCCCATCCTTGCTTGTCATGATGTGCAGTCTCACCCAACGTCAGCAGTTTCGGGCTAGATGGACCAAGGGTCTAACGCCATATAAGGCAGCCTCCTATTTCCTTACAAGGTGTATCGCCAGTGTAGCTTAAAAGCCAGTAGCATGTCTTGAGTTCTTTCTAGTGTGGTACCACTTTGGACAAATCCTGTAGCCACTCAGCTGGTAGAACACAAGAACAGGATTTCATCCTCAATGAAATTTCTTGGTCAGGCATTGTACCATATTTAAGCTGGAATTGTGCTTGCAATAAATTTTAACATGTTTTTCTATACAAATCTTTCATTGTATATAGATTTCCAGAAGCCATGTTTTACCTTTAGGGTATACTGGTTTTTCTCATCTTCCATCAATTTGTAGTTTTGTCTGGTCTTGCAATTTATTAACAGGCAATAAAATCCTAGTTAAATGGCAATATTTTATAGCTAGTACTTGTACAGTATTTATAATGCATCAGATAGTGTGCATTAAAACGGACATAACCTTAAGGCAGTAGTTTTTACCCTTTCATTCTATTTTATATAGTGTTTTTGCCAAAAGGTTAAGGAAAGTTTGTACAGTCATCAAAGGAGGATTAAACCACAGAGAAAAAACTGAAACTTTAGTTTTGTTTTATGATTTCTTGTGAAGTTCTTTGAAAGATGGGACTAAGTTCATATGATGACTCAAGTGACACTTTACAGATCATTGCATTGTCTGTTTTGTCTGTTTTAAAGCATGATGCCAACTTGCAGAACAGGTGCTACAAATGATACATGCAAAGGGATTTGTTTGACCTCAACTCCTATTACACCTACCCAGCTGTTGTGTTATGTGAACCAGTTCTAGGGTTTATTTGTAGGTTAAACTACCCACAGTGAATCCATGCCTTATTTTTAGGTTAACTGTGGATTATTTAATCCACTAATAACCCACAGTGTGCAGGTTCAGACATCATGGCGCAGTTAACCAATTGAGCTGATCCCAGGTTGCATATACATTGCAGTAAACTGTGCATGAGTAATCCATGATCTGCCACCATTATTTACACCAAAACCCACTGTATTCTTTGCACTGCATTTTATTCCTTCCTCTCTCTCTGCTTCCCCTTTAAACTAGGCCTAGCATTTCTGTATTGCACTGGAGAACTAGAGAGACTTCAATATTTGTAGCAGTTAATTTCGCTTTCACCACAACATGTCCCAACCTCAAATATGGATATCAGCTCAGCAACTCTTCTGAGGATTGGAATGAGAAGGCCCCAGCTGAATAACATTTGGTGTCTTTAAACTCCTGACTTAAAAAAAGTAATTAATGTAATGCTGAGAAAGAGAAGCCACCAGATGGAAATATACCAACTCTTTCTGTTTAGTATGTAACATTTAAGTTTTAGATAAGTGTCAGAGTTAAGGATAATTTCCTGACATTAGTCAGTATTGTAGAAGTGTGGAGGATATGGCAAAGAGCACAGAATATAAATAGTTTCATTTAAGATAAAGGTGTGGGCCGTTAACCTTCCTTCCCTCCCGCCTTCTGATTCTGATCATCCCCAAAAGACAGATTAGACATTGTGTGGATAATTGTCATGGCTGTACCACACATATTATCTATGTAGATTATTTGGAATTGATTTATTAACGCAGCTAAGTGTAGGCGGGTAAAAATGTCTGGTTGCAACATATTATATAACTGCATAGTTTAACTGTATTTGCATGCACTGCATATGATCTTCTCTAGAGTGTTCTGTGATATTCTCGGGTGAATGACACGACACAAAAGCCAGCTGTAGTATACTGAAAATATCTAAAGGGAAAACCCCTTCTGCTTTTATCTTTAAAGCTACAATAAAAAGGTGGGGAGGGGAAGGGCTTAATCTGGGCTTCTAGCTTTTTGGGAATAGCATGAGCAGCCGCGGGTGGTTTTTCAACCTAACCACATCCAGTTCTTCTTGGCCTTGGGAATAAGGTGCCTCCTTTTTGTGCTAGAATTACTTCTGAGAAACAGATCTTTTTAAGCCAGCCTTTTTCAAGCGCTTCAGATGGATTGGGGAAGACTGATTTAAAACACTGAATATAATGGTTCACCCCTCCTATTTTCTTTATGGTGAAATATCAGCCAGTTATTTCTTTTTCTAGGTTCAGGTTCCATTGATAAAACTTCCTGTCGTTCTTTGAACATGACTTTAATGCAAGATTATTTTGTTTGTAGCCAGAAGATGATGACAGCCAGAGTAGTTCTGGTGAATCACCTACAGGTAATGCAGCACCTGCACTTGAATGCATCCTTTACTCTCAACACAAAGTTTGGAATTGTGAGTCTGCAAACAAATTGCCTTTATTGCATTAACTGACAAAATTTTATCTCAATACATCTGTGCTCTAAAAGCAAAGTTCCTTAGCTTAGACTTCCGCAGACATGTTTGGTAGTTGCCGGGTGAGTGATCCTGTAAAACGGACACACAAAAAATGAACTTCAGTCTCATCTGCATAACAAACTTGGGTGTATATGGGGGTGGGTGATTAGGAATCCAGGGTCATGATCCTCTCATTGTTCCTCTCATGGTGTTAACTGATATGGCCGTAACAGGATCCTCAGCAGCATGTTGTCACAGGATCACTTCACAAAGTTATCCTGAGATGATCCAGCATTGCAGTGGAATTAGCCTTCTGTTTTATTCAGATAGCTATAGCTCTGGGGTAGAGCAAGAGCACATGATTTGCATGCATAAAGGAGTCCTGGCTCTGTGGTAGAACAGTTGTTTTGCGCGCAGAAAATCTCAGGTTCATTCCCTGGCAACTCCCTCCTGAAAAAGGCTCCTTTCTGAACCCCTGGAGAATTGCTGCCAGTCAGGGTTGGCAGTACTAGGCTAGACAAAGCAAAGGTCCTACTCAGCATGAGGCAGCTTCCTCTGTTCCTCTGTTCCTAATACCAAGGGTTCCATCCCTGACATTTATAGTTCAAAGAATTCCACATAGGCACTTTAGGAAAGTCCCTTTTCCAAGATCTGGGGAGGCCTCTGCCAGTGAGCCTGGACAATAGGAGACAAGATGGACTACCAGTCTTGATAAACCATGTTTTCATATGCTTTCAGATATTTGGAGGGAGTGGTCAATGCTTAGGAGCTGGAAGAATTTTTCTGCCTCAGCACACACAGGATTGTGCTTTAAGACAGTTTTCTAGTTCTGATGACATGGGAAACTGTAGCTTAAGAAACCAAGCTTTGCTGAACTGGGACATGCATGGGAGGAAAGGAAGGATAAGAAGAGTCTGCATGGGTACACAGTCAGTCACTGGGTGTTTCAGATGAGCCTGCCTTATTTAGGATACAATCCTATACATGTTGAGACAGAAAAAAAATCCTACAATTCCCAGCATTCCCCAGCCACCATGGCTGGCTGGGAAATGCTGGGAGTTAAAGGAATTTTTTGTAAATAAGCATATGATTGTATCCTTACAGAATTTTACAGGATGTTGTCTTCAGTCTGTAACCTTCTTCTATTTTCCTGCTGCTGCTTCCATACATTTTCTCAGAAAAGTTGTTAAGGAAGAAATGATGGAACAGCTGCACAATGCCATGTAATAGGTACTGCTGAGGAGCTCTCTGTTGGGAAGCCTGCAGCTCCAGTCTGATAAGCTGTTGTGTACTGGGTCTGACTCATTATGTCTGAACCAGGCTATTGAGTTTTATGTTTTAGAAAGCAAAGGAATAATTTCCTATTTATAATTGCAATTCTAGCTCTGAAGAAGTCGCATACCGAAAATGGCACCTGCTCTTTATGTATGTCTCGCTCACCAACCATCAGTGACTTGCTCAATGATGAGGACTTGTTGTATATGATGAGGATAAAGTTGGATCCATCTCACCCTACAGTGAAAAACTGGAGAAACTTTGCAAGCAAATGGGGAATGACCTATGATGAATTATGCTTCCTGGAACAGAAACAGCAGAGTCCCACCTTGGAGTTTTTGTTACGGAATAGCGACAGAACTGTGGAGCAGCTAATCGATCTTTGTAAATTATATCAAAGAGTTGATATTGAGAAGATGCTGCTGAAGTGGGTGGAGAAAGAATGGCCAAAGAGAGGGCATGGAACCTTTCAGAATGACTTTTAAATAAGAGAAACCCTGTGTGATGGAAAATTGAGAAAGTAGCAGGGCTTGGTTTATTTTGCCAGTAGTGTGTGTGGAGCTTATCTTTGCTAGGGAAACAGAAGTTCATTTTACCATATAAAATGTTTAATATATCTGTGTATAGCTTTTATAATGACAAGGGTGATCTTTAAATATGAAACAGGTCTATGTCGTTTGCAGATACCTTCAGTCTTTTGTATGTTGCTCATTGATTTTCTTTTTTCCAGGCAGCAGGAGAAGATTAGAAACTCAGAGAAAGTTGTAAGGCTGATGATGCAAACAATTACATCTGTTTGACAAAGATTGTGTTTTGAGTTCCTGCAATGTTTCCATTGTGACAGGAATTAGAGGGAATAGGAATTTGTGCTCCTCTTTAAAGAAGAGTCCATGCCTTTACTGAAAAATTGTTAGCCCTTCCCAGATTGCCTTAATTCACCACCAAGAGAAGAAGGCAGACAAGACCAGAACTGAGATGACCATATGACTTCACCAAACCTGCCCATTCAGGTGGTGGGGGATATCTTTATACCTAAAGCTTTTAGATGAATAGCACAGAAATAAGCCATGCACTTCTAAATGTTCCAGTGTAGGAGAACCTGGGGAGCAGTCTTTGTTAAAGAAGTACCCATTTGGTTGGCTGTGTTGAGCATCTGCCTAAGTTCATAGTGCCAGCCTCCAGAGTCCCTTGATTCTGCAACTGGACCTTTTTGCTTGCCCACCCATCTTCTCGGAATGAGCCGCAGGAGTGAGAAGGAGCAGCCACAGCCTCTGCTGACCTCTCCTTGTTGCCCTGCTGCAGATTGGGCCCGGAGCAAGGGCATGGGCATGGGCAGAGACAACAGTGATGCGAAAAAGGGAGGATGGCCCTGAAGAAGTCTTGGCCAAAGTTCCCTCTTCCTTCTCCCTCCAAAAACCTGGAGCAGGTACTTGGGAGTACCTGATACTCTTTGCCCTTGATCCTTTCAACATAGTTTCAGAGTCACTGCTACAGTTAGATCAGGATCTGTTGTTACATCACGGGATGCTGGTGATAGTTTGGTTAAGTGCATGGAATCAGACTGTGGTGAATGAAACGTTAATTGCTGTAGGAGGGGCATCAGCCTCCCAGAGGCAGTCAAGGCTGAAGAAATCTGGCTGTTGTTAGAGGTATGTTTGTTGTGAAGATGGCTGTAGCTAGAGGCTCTAGGCCTGAATTGCATTTTATAGTCAAATAAAATAATTGCACTCATTCCTTAGGCACTGTCTATTATTAGAGGAGTTTCTATGACAACATAGGTAAGCAATTTTTTCTCCAAACAATAGCAACAACAAAAAGATTTCCTTCCCTTCTATATTTGGCTACTAGAATCTCTGATCTGTAGTAACCTAAGGTAGATTTAGACTGGTTGATGTGGTTTCATCTGGCATATGGCTCATGAGTTACAATAAACAACCCTTACTGCCCTGTAAGCTACTGTGTTTGCATTTGGCTCCATTTAGTGGATCTCGAGAATCTAGGCAAAACAAAGTTGATCTTACAAGCAGAAGCCTTACCCACACCCAGTTTTAGATCCTGGTATCTGGGCCCACTTCTCCTGTAGACTGAATGGATGGCACAGAAGACTGTGGCAGCTTCACTCTGTTATTATCAGGAAATACATTCCCTTGACTTTCTTCTGCTATCCTCCAAATATTAGATGTCATCCAGCTCTTTCAGGTTCTAACATGCTTAATAAAAATAAACCCTGATCTTTAATGTTTAGAACAGCATATGTTTTGAAACATTTATCAATTGATTTAGGGAAAGTTTTGTAAATAATACAGACATTAAATTCATGTGGCATGAAGCAGAATCTTTAGGGTACACACTTCAGTATTGTGAGTAGAAGAAATAAAATACTTAGCTCACTGAGAATTATTTAGGCCCACTACTTCTTGATTACTTCAGAGTATTCAAGTTTGCCAGTGTCTACAGTTTTACATCTTTTAGCTGCTTTGAATTAAAGTGGTTAGATCTTAAATGTGGGTCATATATTAAAATGTTTGAGGAGTGATTACTTTAATTGGAATTGCTCATTCCCCATGGCAATTAGAAGATATGTTTGAACATGTTTTCAGAGACAGTTTCAAAACTCGTGCAGGAGCAGGCTGTTACAAAGCACTTATCTGTACAATATGATAATTACATTTGCAAGATCTATTAGTAAATTTTGAAGATACTATTGAAATAGTCTCAAAAATTAACTTTCAGATTAATTAGTGTTGCTTCATGCTGTGCATATATGTATTGGTTTATGTAGCACACAAAAGCTGACAAGAGTGCCAATTCCGAGTTAAAAATCACACTATATTGGCTGTCAGCGGTCCCTGCCTGTTGTAATTCAAAGTAGTTCAGGATGGCTTGGTCTTGAATGGGTAATCAGGGCCTATTAACTATACAAAAGACCTACTCCAAGTGGAGAAGAAGACTGCTAGAAAGCCTTTTATAATATGGACCAACAAGCTACCTATATTTTTGAACTCTCCTTGTGGGTGTTGCTATGGGACTTGCATTTCAACATGCAATATTATGCCGCTGCTAAGCATCCTTACTTGGCAGCAATTGGTACTATAATCAGTGGGACATATTTCCAAGTAAGTATGCTTACAATTGACGCATTCCTTTACAGACATCATGGACTCTTGAAATTTCCTCTACACATCTTTGTTAACCACTCAGAGAGCCTCAGATATTGGGCAGTATAAAAATGAAATAAATCAGCATAACGGGAACCTCCAAAAGGAAGATCACTTATGGGGAGTTCAACTTCTACAGTGTTTCATGCACCCAGCATGGAAATGCAAGTTTTCATAACTGTAGTAGTCTGCAGACAGGCCAGAAAGTTGGTTGGAACTAATGTCAAAGACTTTCTCCTGTTGCTGTGTTTATTGTGCATAATAACATATTCTATGTTTTAACACTTTGTCATACTGACACATTTCCTTACTATACTGCAGCTATGTCTACCACTCTGTTCTGCATGTATCATCAATCTCTACTGTATGTTTTTATTTATCTTGATACTGTCAGAATCCTGGAATCTCAATTTGAGAAGAGGAAATAAAATTCGGGGTCGTAGGAAAGATCAATCGTTATGAACCTCCGTGTCTTTATTGTCTATCCCAGGTTCCCGCGGTTGACTCATGATAATGCATTACCGGGCTAGCAGAGATGAACTCGCAAAGCTTCAATGCCATTACAGGGCATTTATAGGTACACAGGTACAGGGCAATTGATGACAGAATGCAGATTACAATAAGATTCTGAGGTCACCACATACAGAACAGATAAAGAAATGTCAGTCAATCACACTGTAACAATGAATTACAATATTTATAATTGTCTGTATTGACACTTTAGTTGAGTAACTTGAACCCATCTCCAGGTCTGCTCAGACATGCAAATTCAGGCTACTAGAAACTATTCATGATAAGCTCAGACCCCTATCTTGACTCTAAACATTCTGCATGATCAGGGCACATGAAGCCCTCTGGGCTATCAAAAGATTATTGTAAACTGAATTCCAGCAATGACTATTTATAATGTATGTTTGGGCTAAAATGGCCTACTGTAGCCTACAGCTAAAGGTGAGAGAAAGGAGGGGGGGGTGCCATTTTAAACAGTGACAGCTTGGTTTTGAGAAGGAAGACAGGATTTGATCCCACAATGCAAAGGCACACAGGAGTAATGCTTTTCAGACAGGATTTACCCAAATTTTCCCAACAATCCCCCCCTTTGTCATTAGCTTCGCTATGTGACACAAACAAGTGAGTCAGTTTGGATAAATCCTGTTCCAAGCTTTTTCCCATAAAACAGCTTCCATCTCACAACTAAACTAATGTGAGGAGAAAGTTATTTCATACAATGGAGACTTGTGTATTTGCTGAGAGTTCAAAGAGTAGGAAAAATGGAAAACAATTGGGAAAGCAGCAAAGAGAAAGAAGAAAAAAAAGTTCAAAACACATGATATGCAATCCCAATGCTAGTAGTCCTCCTGGGAAATGCCATGCTGATTTTGGCCCCCCTTTGGCTGCAAAGAAACTCAGTGCCAGCCAGCACTTATCCTCACCTGCTCCCCCACCTCTCTCCAGTTTTGTCACTCAATTTTCAGGCCTGGTTCCTTTGCTCCCTAGGCCTCCTCCCTCCTCTGACCCATTGCAGCCTTAAGAATTTCATCCTCGTCGGGGCTGAGGCCCTCACGGTGATGAATATCCTGTGTTAGGCCACCATCCCTTCTGGTCAGCAAACTTGGTGCTTTGCAAGGTGGGAACAGTGTGAGGTGAGGCAATGGCCTGATGTCCAGTTCAGTTATTTGTCTTGCCCTTTTAGGCAATTCTTCGAGATTTCGTTGTCTAGGCTTCACTCAAGCTTCTTAGTTGTAGACCTTGCATCTCACGGTTGGCCTGGTTAGTTCTTTGTTTCCCTGTGAATGATGCAATGGAACAAGGCAGAACACAGGAATGAATTCCCATCAGTCACTGCAGTTCCTAGAGCCAGGGCGTAGCATGGGACATGGAGGGCTTTTCCTTCCAGGGCTGTAGAGAAAAGGAGTCTTTTTTCTTTTTTCTTTTCTGGGGTTCCAGCGTGGCTATTTGGTTCCTGGAAAGCTGCAGCTCAAAAGAAAGGTTAATTAAGAGAGAAAAAAAGGCTTTTACACTTCTTCACAGAAGCTGGTTGTAGGCAGTGGCAGAGAGATCCAGATGAGTTTGGAGAGAAACCTCAAGATGTAAAGTCTATGTCCTTTTTTTGAGTCTCTTTAGCACAGTCTCAAGAAGAAAATGTTTGGGTTGCTGAAATCAATCTAACCAATGCAAAAATGCACACAAAAGAAATCCTTTGTTGAACTGGTGTCGCACGAACCTGTTGCTTGCCTAGGCTACAGAGAAATGTGCTTTCTGCTGGACAATGAGAACAGTTTTACACAATTTCTTATTACAGAGATGATACTCTCCCACATAGATACAAAA